TTGCATTTCCATTTTTGGAGAATTTGAAAATCTACACGACCAATAAAAAGTTGTGGGACTAAGTGATTTGCACTGTATATATGAATTCAATTTGTAAAATGTTTCGTTTCCTTGTAAATTCAATTATGTCTGTTTTTAAAGGAAAAAAATTTGAATTGGAAATTAAAAATTTGCTGAACAAATATAGAATAAATCTTGTGAGAACAGAGTGAGTATTTTTTTGCTCACTAAGTAATTGTCGAATTATTATATATCTGAAGTTACGCTGCTACTAGGATTTAAATGAAAAGAAATTGAAAGCGCTTCGTGGCCACAACTTGTGAAAGTTACCAGTTGGGTAACCAGACCTGATGTATGGTGGACGACCTGTTTGTGAACGTTCTTTCTTTCATCCGAAAAGCTGCTGGCTGCAGTGTCAGAGCTGTAGTGAATAGGATATATGAAAAAATTTAAAAGCTCATCATGGCCATAACTTGTGGATAACTTGTTACGAACGTTTATCTTGCTTCTTGATAATGATGAAACAATACTTATTTTTATATATGTATATATATTTGTTTTTTAGGTCCTCCAGAGATAGCGGAGTTGATTTGTTGGGAGCATTTGTTCACGAGGATGAAAAATATGTCTTGGTTGTTCAGTGCAAGGTAAATATGTTATTTAATATGTGTGTATTATTAAATATATTTTTAATATATGTATGTATTATTAAATATATTTTTTAATTTATAGCATGCAAAATCCTTTCCTCATGTTGTTCGTGATTTAAGAGGTGTTATGGCTATATACCAGATTATACATCAATTGGTATTTTAGTCGTTAATTCCGAACATGACATTAGTAATCGAATGAGAGAAGAAGCTAGGTTAGCATCATCTAATATCATCATATCAGATGAAATTAGCATATATGATGATTTAACTCGCTTTCTTGTATATCTTAAACAACAAAAAGCTCTCAGACATTTAAGAGAAAAAGAGGCATTGAGGAAAGAGATAGGAGAAGACATGGAGAAAGAATTGTTGAAGAAAATGATGGATGAGTTGAGGGAGATGTATATAGAACTAAAGAGGATGCATTTAGAAGAAAGAAAATTAATTTTAGATCAGGGGAAACGAATTGATTTTTTATTTTTATATAATTTTATTTTTTTATTTATTATATTAATTATATTATTATTTATATTTTACAAATAAATTATATATATATATATACAAAATTAATTAATGAATTTTATTATTGAAGTTTTATTAGGTTTAATAATTTAAAAAAATGTTAGAGGCATTGACGAAAGAGATAGAAGAAGACATGGAGAAAGAATTGTTGAAGAAAATGATGGATGAGTTAAGGAGATGTATATAGAACAAAAGAGGATGCATTTAGAACAAAGGAAATTAATTTTAGATCAGGGGAAATGAAATGATTTTTTTTTATATATATTTTTATTATTATCCAAATAAATTTTATATATATATATATATTTTTACAAAATTAATTAATGAATTTTATTATTGAATTTTTATTAGGTTTAATAAAAAAATGTTAAACGATTTAATTTATTATAATTCTAATGTATGGAAATCTGTAAAACAATTTCTATTATCCTTGAAACATAGTGTAACTTTACATAAACTGCAGTAAACTACAGATTTTAATTCATTACTTGAAGATTTCCCTTCTTCTTTTTGCCTTTTGTATCAGCACCACACAAAAGTTTTTCTCTTATCCATTTCAGGAAAATGTCTACCAAGCCTTAATCTTTCTGTAGGTAAAGCAAGATTACTTGTTGTTATGTAAATTGCTCTATCATTTCTTGAAGTTCTTGAAGTACTTCTTGAAGTACTTCTTGATTTACTTCTTGAACTTCTAATATTAATATCATTTTTTTCATCCAAACCAGAATTAATTAAATCCCAAGCCAAGTTTATTCTAAAATCTTTGTGATCCAAATCTCCATTGCAATTTTTATGAATTAAGTAACAATTAACAATTACAGTATCTAGTAACCAAAAGAACATCGGTATCCAAGTTCTCCTGGCTGTCAATTGAGTAGCATAATAACCACGTAATTGATCAGCTATGTCTACACCACCCATATGAGCATTGTAATCATCTATTACTTTTGGAATTGGGAGAGATTTTTTAACTGCATTTCCAAATACTTGTCTGACTTTTGCTGCATTTGTACTTGTGATCCTTGGACAACAATGCATTTTTTCTACTCTATTTTCTGCACCAGTAATTTCATAGATTGTAGTCAACATTGTTACTGGTCCATTGTCCATGGCTGCACTAAAGACATATGAATTGTTTCTTGAACAAGAAATGTCAAAGGATTCTGCGCAGGGTTCAGTTCAAGAGTTTCCAGGACTTTACAATTATCCATTTTTCTTAAAGAACTAAATTACACAAACCTATTAAAGTTGGAAGGGATGCATCGAAGGATTCCAGAAATACTTCAAATGCTAACAAATGTTGGTGTTTGTCTAACACTTTCATTATGAATAATAGTGTTATGAATTACGAAATATGGACAACAGTATCATGCTATGCCCCAATATTCAATTCTCAAAATACATATGCCTTTTCCAAAAAATAATCTCATGAAGACATTAACAAACAAATTGCACCAGACTGGTATGTTTGTACTTCTAAACGATGCTCATATGCACTGAGTGAGAAATTTTCTTTATATTGTTGATATTAGTCTACATTTGCATATTGCATCTAACATTTTTAATGCATAATCACTCACGGCAAATATTTTAAATGATTTCCTCCAGTTGCATCTCGATATCAATCTTTATGATAACTCTAATGAGCGTGTTGAAGAAACTCTTGATTGTCTTGAGAAACTCATCTCCACCCAGCAATGTTTTTTGAATCTTCGGTTGGTGTTTAAAAATGACCTGGGAAAGGCTGATTGAAATATTTCAATCCTGGCCTGAATTCTTCAAACGTCTTGAACTTGTAAAATGGAACTTCGACGGATGTGATTGGAGATGGCAGAAAAAATGTTCAAATTTGTGCGAATTTGCAATTACAAGCCCTCCTCAAATTCTAATCCCTGACATTTTGGGCACTGGTTATGAACCTATAACTTAAGGCCATCAAAAAACAATAGAAATTCTAGGGTTACAACTGCACATTGACATTTAGATGATGATGGCGAAATCACTTCAATGCCATACTTTTACTTTCACCCAGATAAATCATCGGTAGTGTATGATAGGCCTCCTCCAGTTGTAATCCAATCACGGGTAACCCAACCACTACCGAATTACCCTGAGCTCCTCCTCAAAATATGGGAAAGTATACTAGACCAACATCATCATCATCAATAATATTCTAACTCATAAGGGTATTGGAAGCAAGCGGTGATTCTACAATTATTAAATGATTCTTCATAATAAGCTTTCTGATATTTGAATATTCTAAAATAAATTTTAAACATCACAATTAGGTATCATTGGATATTTATGACCATTTTTCTATATCAAAGCAACATAATCCAGTTGTAGATTTATTATGTACAGTCAAAACTCGTTATAGTGGACCCTTGGTTCCATATGTAATTTTTCTCTTTTTTTCCACTATAACGAAATTTTATTATGTTTTCCACTATATCGAGCGAAATTAATTAGCATTGGAAACAAAAAAGATCCACTATAACGAGATTTTATTATGTGTCCACTATAACGAGATACACTATAACGAGCTTTGACTGTAATGATGAATTCCAATAGTTGAAAGACTAATTAATGATGTTGTTATTATTTTATTAAAAACTATAAGCAAGGAACGGTGCGCCATCCCCCAAAAAAAAGGTCGCTGGTATCACCAAGACTACTATTACTTTGTTAATATTATATATAGTAAATAAATATTTTATCATCATGATTAATTTTTCCAATCTCTTGTATTCGATCAAAGTACTTTTTGAACATTTTATTTGAGAAAATCAAATTTCAGTTTTCCAAGGAGTTTGCTCTACTCAAGCTTGGCATTCAGCATATATATGAGGTAAGGTTAAACCCTGTGTTTTATGAAAAATCAATGAGAAGGCATTATTATGGAGCAAAATTGTGTAAACTTTATTAATTAATTAAGAAAAGTATTTTCATCACTTGTTATTGTAACATGTGTATAACAAAATGTCACAATAAAACAAATAGAATAACATTTTTTTGTCTTGTCTTGTCTTGATGTTAGTCTCCTTAATATTATCCAATTAATTAGTAAATGTATTTTCATCACTCGTTATTATAACACATGTGTATAACCAATGTCGCAATATAATAAACAGGATAACATTTGTCTTGTATCATCTCAATGCTAGTCGGGCAACATGATCGAAGGAAATAAAGAAAATCCGTCACATAAATTTTATTAACTAATAAGTACTCTCATCACTCATTATTTATTATAACATGCACATGATATACCATCACAAACACATTATTATTGCAAATATACAATCGATCTAAAAGGAATTAAGATATTTTGTGTGTGTGTTTGTATATCTTGACAAGTTCCCACTTCATCACCATGTTCTTGTTCATTTTCAACAATTTTTCAACAACTTTTTCAAAAGACCTTCCTCTCTTAATAATCTTTCTTTTATTTCCTGGTGTCTTTTGTTTTTGTTTTTATTTTTTTTGAAAAATCGCTTGATTCAACAAATACGTCTTTAAGTTTTTTTAGTGCTGCTCGATTCTTGTCAACATTTTTTTTTTCCTTTTTTTTTATTGTTTGATGATGACGACGATATGTTATAACTGAATATGTAAGTTTCAATTCCATGGCCTCCAAATATAAAAATATTACCACTTGCCAATAGTTGAAATTGTAGTCCTTTTTGATGTATTGGAATCTAATAAATAAATTAATACATGCATTTGCCTAATATAGTTTACACATTGGTTTAATTCTAAAAGAAACCCTTTTTTTATCTAGAATTGATAGGATATTTGTTTCAAGATTTTTTGTTTTGGTGACTCCGTTGTAGGTCCTTTTCATCAAACCAACGTTCTCATATCCCCATTTATTATCCTTGTTGTTAATGTACGTGCTGATGCAAATGAATAGAGGGAGGGTTTGTGTTGTGGCAGTTCCTCGTGGCCACCAGTACCACTATTATTTTTATCATTAATACCATTGTCAATGTAAGTTGCTGTTGCTATTATTGTCACCATCATTATTACTAATTTTTCTATTATCTGATGTAAGCCTCACCCAATCATCAGGAATTTCATATGAATTACCAGAAGAGCTATCATGAATATTATTTGTAATGATCCAATTGTAATATCATTTAACATCTTCTCCACATTCATTGCATTCATTTGCTAAATGAGAACGTAAGATTCCAGGTTTTGCAAATGCCCATTTTTTATGACAACTTATACACTCGCCTTCATATATACCATTTCCTTTTTCTTGACCTTGAATAAATTGCCTCCATACACCTGTAAATTGTCTGCCACGATTAATAGAATTGCTTGGTTCTTTTCTTGGTCTCTTGTTCATTATAAAAAAAATTGTTACACAAAAGTTTATTTATTATTATATATATATAAGATTTGCAGAATTACAGAATTACAGAATTACAGATACATTTACATATTACAGAGAATTACAGATTTTGGCACTTGGTTGCAAATAGTATGACAACTCGGTTGCTAGATACAACTTCTGTAAATCTGATTTACAGACA